GGGGGGGGGGGGGGGGGGGGGGTACAAGGGCGGAGTCACCAGACGACCCCCCGCCCAAAAACAGTCAACTATCTTAGTCTGGGGGGTGATCACGTGCGGCGTAATGGCAACATCATCGATGTCAACTCAACACCGTCCGACTGCGTTACTTGTACGCCGTGCCTCGGCCTTCTGCTGCCACACTTCCATCACCACAACATTCATAGGCAACAACAACGCGTAGTAACGCAAGATGCACTCAAGCGTGTAGGGGAAAGAAACAAGTACCTTGCGGAAGTCTCTTCTTCTGCGTTGGCCGTCCGCTTCTTGCCCCGGAGATCGACGGACCGCCGCAAGGGTCTCGGTGGCCCTACGATCTCGGCGCCGCTGTTGCCGCCGCCGGCGCTAGCGCTGTGGGCACGAGGGGAGGTCCTCGCCCGCTCTACGGTAGACTGAACGGGCTGCGGGGGCCTGCACAAACCAGCGAAAAGAGGAAGCGGGGTGGGAGGTATGGACTAGGAATACACGGGAGGAGAGGCGGGGCATCAGAAACAAAAGACCTCCTGCATGACCTTGCTCGCGTGTGAACCCTGGCTCATACGTCAAACAAAGGCACACCAAAAGGCGTGTAGTAGACTGACGCAAAAATAGATGAGACTAACACACACACCGGCCCTGACGCTCATACCGTGCAAGCCGGCGAGGTGCGCCCGGACGTCGGCATTGTTTACCGACGTAAATATCCCTACGTTGCATAAGGTATCACAACCCCTGGGCCGATTTTCCAAGCTTGGCAGGAAACACAGCAGCGACGGTGCCGGCATGGTGTCACTGGGACCATCTTGTCGAGATCTGTCCGAAAAACCTTTTTCTTTATTTTGGTATCCTCTTCGTCGTGGAGAAATCGAGCATCGGTTCAAGGGGTGTGGTATCTTACGTCATGTCATGTCACCTACGTACGGTAGCGGAAGACAAAACAAAGCAGGTGTGCTGGTGGTTCTGTATTAGGCCGCATAGTGCCAAGGAATTCGGCCAGACTCATACCGGGCACCCGGCACCTACTCAGAGTGCAACGTGAGACATCTTGAAACCTTCCATCCCCGTCACGCGATTCCACCAGGGCCACCGGCCTTGCCTCCTGCCTTACACAGGGACCACTACCGTAGCACGCAACGCTGTTAAGAATATTGAAGGGCTGCCCCTGTTGATGCAACGAAAAGGTGTCTCGCCTCTCGCTGGAATACAGCAATAGCGGGTACACGGGTAAGGAGAGATTGTTTACAAGCAAGTGCGCATTGAACAGGGTAACCGTAGCTTGTTCCCGGCGTTACAAGAAACACAATATTCTTGGTACTGTCTACGAGAAAGCCGGATTTAAGAGCGTGTGTTGTGCCGACCCTGTCTTAACCCAAACTGTAGCAACTACTGCAGCCACCTACCTGGCTCTTGTCCTGGTGGGCGGGGACATAATCGAGAACGCCTTGCTCTTGTACATGCGGACCAGCTTGCTCGGGCCGTCCGGCTCCACGACGACTTCCACCCTGCCAAAAAACAGCAGAACAACAACAAGAGCAAAGTGTTGTTCGAGCTTGTTTGGGTTATTCGAGCTTGTTTGGTGTGTGTGTGAATCCTTCCTCGAAATAAACGGGTCGGTCGCTGTTGTTAAGGTCTATGCATTAACGAAGTTGCTCTCTTTGATCCGTGCTCAGTGGTTAACGCCAAAGGGCAAATCGTCGACCACGCAACGAGCCCCACCCCAATCAACCTCACCCACCAAGCCACACACCTCTCTTCTCTACTGTTCTCGAGTGCACCCACTCGAAACCACAAAGACAACAGTGAGCCCACCCCCCGGGGAGTGTACCAGCACCCAAAAACAAACGCAGCCGCACCTCCCCCTAGACGTCACCAGCGAAGTTCTCTCCCCGAGCTTTCGGATGTTCAGGGTCTTGGCCTGGCGTTTCCCCTCCGGGGAGCTGAGGGGCTCCGCGGCCAGGACCAGGCTGAGGTTGAGCACCCCCTGCACTCTCTCCTCCACGGGACAGGGGTGGTCCCATCCGAAGAGGCATGACCGCCCGGGGGGGAGGGCGTCCCCTGGCCCGGGGACAGACGCCTGTGATAAAAACGAGGCGAGAAAAGGGAATCCATGGGGTGTGGAGACCGTGCGCCGCTCGGCAAACGATCGACGAAAATAAAATGGGCTAGAGTACCAGGTGCAAAAAAATCAAAAACCAAAATCAAATTCGAGCTCTCGTTGGCCGAAGCCAAAAAAACAATGGCAGAGCTAAATACATTGACTTCCAGAAATTGAAAAAAAAACTCGGAGAACATCATGTTTTTAAAGTACAACAATAAAACAATACCGTTTTTTTTCTCGGCCAACAGAGCCGAGATTTCGATTTTTGGTTTCCGATATTTTCCAAGTGCCGCACACCTCAGTAAAACACTATTGTCTCGCTGTGTATGCGCGCGCACCTGGCCGTAGAAAATCCTGGAGTTGGTGTGGTTCTCGAGGCGGTACGTGGGGAACCTGTCCCCTGTCCCCCACGCCTCTTCCTGGAAGATGACCTGAACGGCGGAAGATCGGAAGCCCTGACCGCCACCGCTTGGTCCGTCCTTGCCATCGACTGGTCGCTCTGAACCGTCACCTCCGCCGTCGGAGTGCCTACCACCGCGTGAGGGGACAAAAAAAAAGAGCAAATCGGTTGGTTGTGGTATCACAAGGACGGGACAGGTCAGTGTGAGTGGCTGTTACTCGCGCAACCACTCGGCCAGCAGGATTCGGCGGAAAGGCAAAATACGTGATACAGCAGTAGTCACCGTGTTCTGGCTAACCCTTGTTTAGCACAATAGTCTGAGACAAGCGTACTGTGGATACAAGCACCGCTTTGCGCGCACGCCGCGGCCAAGCAAGTCGGTTCCTTGCGCGGACAGCAGTACGATGAGACAAGACGCAAACGCGGGGCAGCATGGTGTTGGGTTGATTTGCTCTTGTCAAAACCAAAACCGCTTCTGATCTGTACCCAGTGCCTCCTCCTTAAGGCGAGGAAGTAAAACTCCCGATGGCCGCGAGCTAACCTACTACTAAGGAAATACCGAATACGGTAGTA